CAGTACCTGTCACATGGTAAAGATTTACTAAGCAGTACATATTACAATTGTTGTTAGTCTCTTCTTGCAGATACTCCGAGGACAAAAGAGAGATCCTATGCCTTGAGCTTGAATCCTGTTAAAGAACTTGTCCTAAAATCTTTGGAACTCATAGGAGCCCTTAAAGTTACTTTGTTCTGGGAAGAGTGTTTCCCTATTAGTCAGTAGGGACTAAGTTACGATACAGTAACAAATGTCACATTGTCTTAAGGCAACAAAGTTTGTTTCTGTCTTGTTTCTGTGTATGGGGCGTATCAACTGCAGGTTCTTTAGGGGCTCTGCTCACTAAGGCCTTTGAAGGGGGCTCCCTCATGCCTCCTGGTTCCGTGATTGCTGAGGCTGGGAGCTGAGGCTGGGAGCAGAGAGTACAGGGAACCACACACAAGCTCTGAAGCCACACGTCACTTCTATGCCCATTTCATTAGCTAAAGCAAGTGGGTGAAGAAGTGTAATCCTAACAAGTCCCCCAAGCAAGATAACTAAACATTTATGAAAAATCCCAGTGACTATCAGAACAACCTCAGTGAACCTTCTGGTTGGGCTGGATAAAGCTAAGGTCCCAATCTGGAATGAAGAGATTTGGTTACTTCTAACAGGCCAGACTACCCTATGTGACATCATTAAAACTTGTCTTTGTCATGCCCAGAATTGCATGTCTGAAGACAACTTGTCTTTAGGAAAAACTTTGGTTCCTAAGTATTGCTTAAGACCACTTCCCTAAAAAATCACTGGTGGTTCTTGGATGATATTGTCCAATATGCTTTGTGGAGCTGAAGTGCTGGCTGGAGAAAAAGCATCTTGTCTTCTGGAAGACGGAGCCTAACATGGACTAGACTATACATGTCCAGTCTTTTCCAGAACCTTCCCTACTGTTGCGTAACCTCACGTCAGACTATTGGGCACTCATGGCTCATGGAGCAAGGACAAGCTCTAAGTGTTAAGAAGCAAGGCCTTTTCCCAACTTTCACAGTCCTGTGTCCTCCTGGATTTCTTTCCACCCAACTGGAAGGTTTTTCTTGACCTCTTTTCCTAGCTTAAGACCCCCTTTCATTTTTACTCACACTTTCTCCTTCACAGACCAAGAACCTAGGAGTCACTCTTAATTTCTTCTCACATCCAATCCAACACTACTCGCAATTTTACCTCCTTAATAGCTTGAAACCCATCCTCCTTTTCATCTCCCTCTCTCTTTGCGCTGTGCCAGCCCAGGCCGTCACCGCCTTCCCCGGGAGGCGAAGCGCCTCAGCACCCGGGATCCTCGCGGCTGCTTCCAGCACGCCACGCTCCCCAAGTGCCCACACGTCGGCCAGAATGAGGATTTGAAAATGCAACACTGACTCTGTCAAACACGCCCATACCTCTGCCTGATCCCATGCCAACTGATTAAAATCCTTTCAATTATTCCCTAAGTTTTTAGGACAAAGACTGAAGTCCTTAATATGGCCTCGAATGCCTGGCAGTTCCTGCTAACTTCACCGCGCTCATCTCCTCCCACGCATCCTGTGTTTTTCTGACTTTGGCCACCTTGGCTTTCTTTCAGTTCCTCAGGGAAGCCAGACTCCAGGCTTCCCTGGCAGAACTGCCGCCTCTGCTCACAATCGTCTCCCACTCAGTCCCCTGCTTTCTCTCCAGATTGTGCTTTGTAATTAAATCTCATCTCCTCATAAAAACCTGTGTTGACCCTCATACTAAGTCAGGCCCATTCTCATATGCTTTGCCCCCATGGGAACTTATCACAATTATAATTGAATATTCAATTGTAGAATTATCACCTAATATCTACTTCTTTCTCTTAAGTATCATTCTTGACTTTTCTTATTCCCTTCCTCTGTAGTCTAACATGTCCAGTGCTTTGCTCAAAACAGATGTTCAAGAGCTATTTGTTGAAGGTCCAAATACACGACATGACTAGTTAACAATTTAATAAAGGGGTGTGTAAATGGCTATTACAATAGCCCTGGACAAAGCTAGGTCTTGGAATAGAAGTACTCAACATAGAATCTATGAAACACAGAGTTTGGGGGACACAGGCCTTTTAGGTCTTGGGGAAGCCATGTGTGCAAGCTGATAGAGAGGTAGAAAGCAGACTTTCCCTTCCTCCTTCAGGCCACTTCCTGAACCATGGTAGAGGGGGCAACGTAAATAACCACCAAGGAGATTAGGGGCGCAGGTCTCCAGTGGTGACCAGCAACACAGGGGCTGGTAGCCACTGGAACTGAATGCTGCTGCTGAGTACGAGGCAGAGCAGAGGCTGGGAGGCAAGCACACACCCGCCAAATGCATTTGAGGGAAGGAATTTGCAAATACTTGAAAGGGAAAGCTCTGACAAGACTGGAGACAGACTCTCTTGCATTTTCCCTCCCTTGGAGTTGGCCTTTGTCCAAAAAAAAAAAAAAAAAAAAAAAGCAAGCAAAAACAAAACTGTTAGATAGAAAAGACAAGGAGAAGCAGAACTACTGTGCATTTAAGCCATCTTTTTCTAAAGAGTTCGAAGCAAGCTGGAGCCTTATTAAGTCTAACTGGGAGGAAGATCAATCTAAATTCAGCTGGGTCTATTTCTAGAATACTTTTTTAAAAATATAACATTATTAGGGACATAGAAGCCCCAACATTTTCTTTTGGAAAATTTATTCTCTTGGATGTTCTAAACATATTCCTTACAACTGTCTTGAGCTATAATTTAACAGATTTCCCCAAAGAAGAGGTTTCCAAAGTAAAGAGTATTATCCACCCCGTTTCCAGTTGTCTAAATTACCTGATACAAGGTAAACCTGAATACAAATAATCTACTTGACTACAGTTTTATGCAAATACTTTCTGATAATTATCATCATATTACTCCACAGAAGACTTTAAACTTATGACAAGGATGACCTCTAACATGAAAGTAAGATACTGAGTAATAGGGTTCCATAATTCAGGGTCATGGAGTTCAATCCCGTCGTTGAACCTCACTTTGTTATACAGCTGATTGGGTGGGTTGTGGAGCCAAACCTCTCATTCAGGGTGACTTATACTTTATTCATCCTTGTTTGCACTTTTTTTTTTTTTTTTTTTTTTTGCTTAGATGGAAAAATATCTGCCCCCATTATCAAATTATTTATTTTAGTTACTCTTTCCAGAGGCTCTCAGTTCTGGTCCAGGGTTCCTACTTTATCCTCGTAAATCACTGGAACACATGAGTAAATTTAACACATGTACATGAGTTGTAGAATTCCAAGTCATCACTATATATACAGATGGAGTTAAATAAATCTTAATATCCATAATGTTGGTGTTACTCTAGGTTATTTATAAATTATGTTCTTGGGGATAGTCCAATTAGATTTCTAGGTCAACTGTTCATTGCCGTTGAATAAATATAATCTAGGTAGAGGGTGAATTGTATCTAAAGTCCCATCAATTGATCAAATCCTGGAAAGAATGAATTTTAACTCTCCAGGGATAAGGTTTAGTTAAACCCTACAGGGTTATAACATGCCTTATGTACAGTGTAAAATTTTTTAACGGTGATAATAGTTAAAATAATAAAATTTTCTACTTGGTCAGTAATCCCATTTCATAAACCATAGTGACTCAGCCAAATTGTAATTAACCAGAATAGTCTCCTCTCAGTGTGACCTGCAATCTGTTTCTGTTTACAAAACCAGAGATGGCACATGTAGGAAACCTGTTATTAATTAGGCCACCATGTCGTAATTATGGGTGCTGTACAGACACATCCAAAATGATAATTATTCTGAACCATTAATTACAGCTTCACAAACTATGTTATCCAGAACTATGAAATATTTCATGTAAACTTAATCTATGGCTTTAATCCTTCTGTGCCTCTTTTTCCTCATCTGTAAAACAAGGCTAATAATAATACCTACGTCATAGGGTTGTTGTGAGGATTACGAGTTAAAATATGTAAGGCATGGGGCAATCAGTACCTGGCACATGGTAGGCACTATATAATGTTTGCTGTTATCATAAGACCTAGGAAAATGTCCAGACCTCGAAAAGGAAGGTTTCAATCCCACTTGCATTCACAGGTCATAATCAATAAATGTGTTATTTTAGAATCACAGGTTTCCCCTGATCCAACCCCAACAAGTTTTCCTTCTCTAGTAACAAATCGGCATACAGTTTTCTTTTCATAACTCTACAGATGGCCCCAGACTCATGATGATTTGACTTAAAATTTTTTTGACTTTATATTGCGGTGAAAACAATATGCATCCAGCTGAAACCATACTTGGAGTGTTGATCTTTTCCCAGGCCAGCGATACGCAATGTGATGCTCTCTCGTAATGCTGGGCAGTGGCAGGAAGCCGCAGCTCCCCATCGAGAGACAACCAGTTATACTGGTAAACAAACAATACTCTGCAGTGTCCTGTGTTGCCATTGTTTCTATGGATATTGTATTCTGAACAGGTTTAAGGTAGGCTAGGCTAAACTGTGATGCTCAGTAGGTTAGATGTATTAAATCCAATTTTGACTTACCATAGATTTATCAGAACAAAACGCCATCATTTCTTGAGGAGCATCTCTAATTTAGTCAGTAAAATCTTTTAAGCAGTTCCTAACTTTTGGATTCAAGGAATCTGATTAAACTCTAGACTCTCTCCTGAGGGGGGAAAATGTGCATGTAAAAGTTTACATTCAATTTCAGAGGGTTCATTATGGCCCTCTGAAGTCCTTCATGGACCCCAGATCAAGAATCATAGTTTGAGAGCATGATTTGGAAGATAGCCAAATTGAATCTGGTTCTTTTCACAATGTCTAAAGCAAGATGAGACAGAAACACATATTTGCACAGTGTAAAGGAAGTATTAATTACTCTGCGCCAGCTAAGTACTTTCCAATAAAGGGTTCTGATGATGATAAAGGAGGAGGAGAATGAAGAGAAGAATGAGAGGAGAAGGAGTCGTCACTCAGAATGGATAAAGGAAGGTAAACTAAAGGTGTACTTTTACCTTTGAGTGAGCCAAGTATGCAGCTGCGCTTTGAAACTGGGAGTGCTGTATGGCTGTTATTATAGCAACTCTGAGGGCAGTTTGAGTAACTGATTGTATCTAAAGCCTTCTTTTCAACCTCAAACAGGTAAAATATTATCACTGGGGCTCTTCACGCCTGTGCAAGGATTCAGACACAAAAGAAATGTTAATTATGGGAACTGAGCTGTGAATTCTGAGTGACCCCCAGGGACAAAATGATTATCTGGTGGTCTTATGTTGCTGGAAATTTATTAGAGGGTTTTAAGATTACATTAACTGATTTTCACCTTAAGTGCTCCACCTGGAGAAGCATTAAAGGCTCCTGATAAGGAATGATTTCAGAGGAAAAATGACATCAGCCAGAAGATCTTTCGGGTGAGTCAGGGGTACTGTAAGGAGAAAAGCCCAAGTGAGGTAGGTGGCTGTGTCCAGCCGGGCGGTGTCATGGGCTGCAACAGAGAGCTGTCATCTGACCAGGGCTCACCAGGTCCCCACTCATCCCCTGTTTCCAACAGTCACCAGTGCCAGAGACCAAAGAGGAAGAATAATATGTTTACAATAAGGGTCCCAGAGGGAGGCCAAGGACCCAGCTCTGTTGCCTCCCCATGATGGCCTCCAATTGCAGCCCTGCCTCTGAGAGCCAGACATCTTCGCAGGGGCTGCAGGTGTCGACCGGCTCTCACCCGTGCTGAGCTCTGCTCCCTCCTCCTCTCCCGTCTCCCCTGCCTCACTCTGCCTCCGATTCCAAAGCCACCTTTCTGTTCTTGGACCGTCCCGAGTTTATCCCTGGTGCAGAGGCTTTGTATCTATTGTCCCCTCTGCCAGGAATATTCCTTCTCTAGATATGTGTGTGACGGACCCGTTCTTACGTTCCGGCCTTTGCTCGGTCGGTAGTTTTCTGTCGCCTGCCTTGTCACTTTCTTCTATATCACTCTATTTTATCGATAGCCCCTATCACCATCTGAAAATAACCTGCTGATTTGTTTCTTCACATTGTTAATAGTCTCCATTACAATGTGAGCCCCATGAGCGTGGACACCTTCTACGTCTTGATCACCGGTGTAGGCCCCAGGCTTAGCACAGAGAAAGCACCTGATACACAGTTGTTGGATAAAGGAATGAACGATCATCCTAACAGCCACTATTTGTCAAGCACCTACTCTGTGCCCGGGACAGGGCTGACTGTCTCACTGAATTCTCACCGCGACCCTCCAAAATAGGTACTTATCTGTTATCCTCATGGTACAGACTAGGTTGCAGAGAGGTTATGCAGCTTTTCCAATGTCAAAGCTAACATGTTACAAGCTAGCAGGTAACCAGGACCTGATTTGAACCCAGGCATGTCTGGCTTCAACACTCATGCTTGAAATCAGGAGGCGGCATGCTTTTTCTAGAAAGAACCAGATAGTAAATATGTAAGGCTTTGCACACCATAGGGTTCTACATGTAGCAACCACACAACTCTGTTGTGCTATGAAAGCATCCATAGACAATACATAAACAAATGGATGTAGCTGTGTGTTAATAAAACTTTATTTACAAAACGTGATGGGCAGGCATTGGCCCAGGGGACAAAATTTGCAGAGATATATATTTGGTATGCTATGCTAAAAGAGAAGCAAATTCTTCTCTTTTAAAGAAAAGCAAAAAGAGAAGAGGAGTAAAAGAAAAGTATTAAAATGTGTGCTTGGTGCATGGTGAGCCCTCTTTAAATAAGAACAACAGCAGGAAGATACAACTAAGCTTCAAAAGGCAAAATCAGCAGTAAGGGTCTGGTAGGAATTATGACTCTATTGATTCAACTTCTTGACAGAATTATAACCATCATTTAAGACTACAGTAGAGCTTAATCAAATAAGGTATTCCACTTTACTTATTTTTTAAGGTTTTATTTCTTTATATTTAGAGAGAGGGGAAAGGAGGGAGAATAAGAGTGAGAGAAACATCCATAGGTTGCCTCTTGTATACCCCCAACTGGGACCTGGCCTGCAACCCAGGCATGTGCCCTGACTGGGAACTGAACTAGCGACCCTTCGGTCTGCAGGCTGGCGCTCAATCCATCCACTGAACCACACCAGCCAGGGCAGGGGTATTCCATTTTAACCAAGGTCCCATTCACATTGGAATTACACGATTTCACATGCCAACACTCCAGCAGATCCACACCACCTTCCATCCCACCCAGACCCCAGATGTGCACTATTGAAGGACAAAGTATACCGAGTTACTCTGACTGTCTAAACTGTCCTTCTTTCAAACTTTGAGCCTGGAAAGTTGGCTTTCCTTCTAAGCAAACATAAGAGTTACTGGCAAGAGGTGGAAGACAAGATATGAGTCGCAGGTTGGAGGTATCTCTGCAGCCTCATTGGGAAGGCCACCACTACTGGGTTCAGTTGCTGAGTCATTCATAGCGGTGGTTCATGACACTGAATATCAGAACCAGAGCGAAAGATCAACTCCCAGACCCTTGGGTTTGGGTGGGAGGCAAAGGCTGAACTTTAGAAGGTGGGAGACGAGGGACAAAGGCAACAGTGTCCGCAGTGCTTGTCTGTGCACACGTGACAGGCTGGCGTGGGCCAGAGCCCGAGGGGACGAGGCCTCCTGCCAGCCCTCCATTTTCCTCTCCTAGGTCATTAGACAGACATTAGACAAAATATTCACTTCTCTTGTACCCTGAAGAAAGAGGAAACAGCATGTGGTTCTTAAACCAATAGGCACACTTTCCTCAATTTGCATGCAATTTTCTAAACATGGACCCTAAATGTCTGAGCAAGTGACAAAGATTAAACTTTAGTTGGACTTCTGAACCTTCTCCTAGGCTCATACGTACTCGGACTGTGCACTCGTAAAAATCCAGGTTTAGCAAAACCCTGCTAAGTCAGTTTAACCAGAACTGTCACCTGCCCCCTTTCATCCCCCCAGGTGACGTCGGATCCCCCTGGCCTGTCTTCAGCAAAGAATCTGTTAGGTCGGTTCAGCCAGACCCCGCTTACCCCCACCGTTACCGCTTAGTAATTTGCCATCCACTGAGTGCCTCCGCCCTGCTCCTTGGCTATAATTCCCACTTGTTCGTGTTGTTTTTGGACTTGAGCCCAATCTCTCTCCCCCACTGTAAAATGCCATGGTGGTGGTCCCTACCCTGAATAAAGGCTGCCTGGCCATCTTTAACAAAAATTGCTGAATACTTTTTTTTTCTCTGACATAGTAAAGCAGCCCCAGCACAGAAGACACAGCAGGTACAGGGGACTCTGGAGACGCAAGGTCTGTCCCAGCCCTGCCATGTATGTCCCCGCAGCAATGTCGTGGGCACCCCTGCCCCTGGCTTCCCCTTTCTGAGCCTGTTTTCTTATCAGTAACAGAATGAGTCGGTCTCATCCCTTTTAATCTAGCCAAATGTCCATCTTTTTTCATCATTTTGTTTTTTGTTTAATATCTGTTATATTTGTTATTGGTCACAGTTACTATTTTAGATGATTTATGTTACTAATAAAAAATAAATTTCTATTGAGCATTTAGTGTTTTTACTAGGATTATGCCACATGTTTTGAATCCATCCTAGTACTTAATTCTCACAACCTCCTTATAAGGAGGGACCTTTGTGATTGCAGACTTCACAGATGTGTGCGCTGAGGTTCAGGAAGGTGACATAATTTTCCCAAGGTCAGAGAGTAAGTGGCAGAGCTGGGATTTGAGCCTGAACTTTTTCTTTCTCCCTCTTCCCTGTCTTTCTTCCTCCCTCCCTCCCTTCCTGCCTTCCTTTTCTTTTCTGTTTTAAGAACTACCCTGTCTTCATGTGCCCTGTAGCCCCTGGTCAACATCTGACCCAAGAAAAAAATGGAGATTCAAACTCTTTTGACCGGAATTCCATGATGCCTCTCACCATGTCAGGCTACCAGATACCAAGATGTTTTCCTGAAGGAGATGGTACAGGAGTTGCCACGGATGTCCAGTGCATGGCCTTTGCTCTTGAGGACCCAAGAGAGATGGTCAAACCCATGGCACAATCAGGGGCCTGGGAGGAGGAGTGCAAAGCAGGAGATCCTTCCTCCTTGCTTTTTTCCTTACTGTCATTTTTCTGCATAAGCAAACATTCAACCATGGTGTCTTAAAATCTCTGATTATTGGAGAACTTTTTTCTTTGCTAGGGAGAGGCAATCCCTTTAAGATTAGACCAAGTCAACAATCTGGTGATACGGAAGATCTGGGGCCTCTCTTTCAAACAAACCAAGATTTTTAAGAAGGCACAGGAGCGCTGGCCTGATCAGAGAGGCTTGGGGGCATGGGGTGGGGTAAGGCTAATGTTTTGCACAGATCTGATTCTCTCATGGGTGGGTGGGGAGAGAAAAGAGGAACAAGTTTAATTTTTGAATGTCTACTATGGCCCAGGTGCTTTTACATACACTGAGCATGAGGTCCTGCCAATAATAGGTAATGTTGACATTTTACAGATGAGGCTAATAAGACCCTAACCAGGGATTCTCTCTCTCTCTCTCTCCCTTTCTTTTCACTCTACTTCAATGCTTGTGTAGACACCAACCTAGTCTAATTAAGATTTCCAAGATGTAAATGGCATTTTCTCAATTGAATATTTTTTATAAAAATAAATAAAATTTAGACTGCTAAACCTAATACAATGCCTAGCACAAACTAGAAGCTCAATAAAATAGGATGAATTAACAACTAACAGTGCTGTTTCTCAAAGTGGAGTTGATATCACCCAATCTAGTAGTTCTCAACTGGGAGTGATTTTGCTCCCCAGGGGTCATTTGAAAATATCTAGAGATGTTTTTAGTTGTCAGAGTAGAAGGGAAGGGTACTGCTGGCATCTAGTGGATAGAGTCCAGGATGCCTGTATACATCTTACAATGCACGGCACAGCTTCACACACAAAAAATGACTTGACCCCTTATCTCAATAGCGATGAGGTCAAGACATTCTGATATAATCTAACATGTCTTACAGATGAAGCAGGCAACCATGACTTAGAAAGATAACAAGACTTGCCCAGGTCCATACTGCTAGTTGATGGCAAAGTCATGATGAGAAATATCCCCTGAAACCTTCTACAGTGTTCTTGCCAGACCTCACGGGGCTGCCTAGCCAGAGGGTTGCCTGCTGCAAGAGAGACAGTTCAAT